CCCGCCTGGGCGGGCGCGCGGCTGCTTCGCGGCGCTCGGCGGGTGCCGGGTGGCGGGGCGCGCGGCCGCGCGTGGGCGGGGCGGCGGGGGGTGCCGGGAGGGGTCCAAATTTTTACCCTTACACACTTCAACACTCCTTTCAGATGGTGTTTCACAAAATTATATTAGGCAATACGTGTTAGCTGGAAAATTTTTGAAAAAGTTTGGTAAGTAGCCTTCAGAAAAATCTTTGTATCTTTTGAAAGGTAATATCTATCGATGTTGACCTTGCGTGAATTGATAGAGGAAAAGCTAGGCTGTCAATACATTATATCACAGTTTAGAAAGTACGTTGTTTTCAAAGCAGATTAAGCTCATCTTCAAAACTCACGATGTATCCACGAACAAAGAGTGACTGAAAATTTTCGTTGACTTTGCAAAAACAAAGAGCGATTTCGATTCTAGATAGTACAAAAACTTCGAGTTAATTGTCTCTTTCTGCTCAAAAATTATTCAAAAACTGCTCACGGCCATGTAACTCTAAAATGGACAATAGATTTCAACAGAACATGCTGGCAAACTCGACAACTTCATAAACTCAGCTAAACTTCAATTAAAGTTGAACATAACTTTATATAAGTTAAGTAAAATCTCTTTTAAGTGAACACCGTCGGGACTTTTAAAAGTGTTCAGTTCTGAGAGATGTTCACCTATGGAAGACATAATGTATTTTACCAAAAAATGAAATAAATTTTCAGAAGATGAGCTCTTTGTCTAGTTTTTAAACAACTAGAGATCACTTTCTGTTTTGTTGATATCTTTTTATTCCAAATTATTTAAATCCAAAAGTTTTCGAAAAAGACAAAAACCTAACTCTATTTTTAAAGTCCCTATAGTTGTTTGTGTTTATTTTATTGAATCAAAACTTTTGCATATTTGTTTAATATTTTTATTCTGATATGTTTGATAATCATAAAAACATTCCTTCTCTCATCTTACTAAAGCTTGACACAGAATCAAATGAAATATTCTATTTTTCAGCTAATTTACATTGTGGTGGATAACTATCACTTTTTTGAGCATTTTTTTAAATGTATGTTTTTTTCGTTTAATGTAAGATAGCATCAAAATTTGATTGTTTGCCTAATATGTACAATTGCAACAAACAATAAACAACCAGTTTTTATTCATTATTCAGAATCGATAAAGAAAAGAGAGAAAAAATTCACACGTGTTCATCAAACAGAGTTTAAAGTAGTGGTTGAGGCTGTAAAAACATTGCTCATGTTCAGAGTAGGGAAGTGTCCACTAATAGAGGTTTTACTGTATACAAAATCAATTATTTATCCTTATGGTTTTCAGTTTTAAAAGAGCTTTCAAATCTTTCAATAACTCTGTTTCACTTTTCCGCAACCTCATTTTTTCTTGTGCCATATACACAGGAAAACTATCAATGATCAATAGACATTTTGGAAAAGAATTGAATGAAGGATATAGATGTTGTTGTACATATTCGACACTTAGAAACATTGACTTTTTTGCAAATCTTACGTACCAAAAGTTACTTCATCAATTAAATAATTTGCAACATTTACAAAAATAACATTAATATCAACAGTTTCGTATAGACTCAGAGTGCGGAACTACTATACCTGGACAGTATTATTTTATCAATGTTAAATCTCTCAGCAAGGTCTAGGAATGGAAAATTCTGTCGTAATTTCATAAAGCCAGTAAAAATTGTTGACTTTCGCTCGATAAACAGCATTCAACCTTGCTTACCGATGTACAAAATCTATCCAAGATATTGCAACATGAAAAAATGGCTGTATATGACAAGTATAATGAAGTCTGCTCAGATTAAAGTATCGTTCATTCAAGGGTCTACTAAGCCAAGTACTAGTCCGGATAAAGCATATCATGGGAACTCACTATATCATGATATTAATTCATTATCATTCTCGTATCTTTCCACTGATGGAGGCAATTTCTATAATTTCAAAGATTGCACCTCTCCACGAAGAAGTTGTATCTCGTCATCTAGTGGAAAATCAACAATGTTGGGGTCAATTGAAAAGGTACAACATCGACAGCTAGACATAATCATCCTTCTAAATAATGTTTCAGAATGTGAACGCGACGCTCAAGCAGAATCATTGATGTGCATAGAGCAATGATATTATTTTACAGAAATCTTTGACAACAGCTAATGAACCTGCTTTGTCTAAACGAATCGGTAAAGCATCTTTGGCCAATAATGTCTTTTCTTCTATATAAGTCATATCACTAGTAGATAAGTGTTTAATATACATACACGTTCTGATTTTCTCGTGTTAAGATCATTTATATTAAGAAAACATTAGACTAATTTTTTAAAACTATAAAATCAGTTAGCAGACGAAACAACGTAACTTGACGTCCGTCTTTGCTAACGTCACCAACTTTTTTCAATAGTCAACGACTTTACAGCTACTGATAATATAAACCACAAAAAATATTTTCATCTTATTATGAAGAAAACAGTAAACGACACAAAAACTATTACTACAGGAAAATCAACGTGCACATCTATTCATAGAAGACAAAGACACCGGTAGACTAGACATCGTCTAGACACTATCTACGTGAATACAATGAAGACAAATGTCATCATCATTTTATAGAGCATGAACACAATAAAACGAAATACGTTCATATTTATGTTAGAAGCATGTTGAGTGTTCAACTATAATATGTCAATTGATTTTTAGTTCTAGGAACTACAGCACGCTCAATACGTCTAGGTTGGTTGGCTAATTTGATCAATTCACTCTCTTGCAGTTCACGTGCAAATACAAACATTTCATCCAATGAACCCATAAATGTTTGTGATGTAGAAATTCCTTGAATACCTTCACAATTTGCTGCACCATTATATTTACCAAGTGTTATTGTCATTGGAGAACTATTATGATCACCACGAGCATTATTAAGTATACTTGCTTCGCCACTAGCACCTTGAAGATAAGATGATGTATAAAGTTTAGCTCGATTTTCAGTACTCCACGTAAATGCTACATGTACCCATGCATTACTTGGCATTTGTGGTCCTATAATATTTACACTATCTCCTGTTGCAGTTGCATTTGGTAAGTAAGCAACAAGAGTATTACTATCATTTTGAAATCCAAGAACGAGTAAACATGTATATGGATTAGCTACAGTAAGAAATATGCCAGGTTGAGTTTCAG